AAATTAGTTTAGATAAGTTAAGTTCAGAAAAAAATAAGTGCTGATAAGGGTTATCCAAGTTCAAATTACAACTAAAATAAGTTTTAATAAGTTTAGATAGGTTCAATTCAGATAAGTGATAATTAAGTGAAAACAACATACTCTAAATATGTTGTAGTTTTGCAATTGAACAATATTTGATGCAATTGATTGTAAGTGTAAAATCGACCAAATCCTTATTTATTAAAGAAAAAAACTTCATACCTCTTGACAAGAAGAGAGCACGATAAAACCAACCCAAAAATAAGTATTTTCCATAATATCAATATTTAGTAATTTACTAGATAATCCTCGTGCGATGCACGATTTTAACAAAATAATTATAGTGTAGAACTCATATAACAATGAATCTTTTCAATTTTGTCATAAATTCATTGGAAGGGGATTTCTTGAAAGGAATACAGTTTGAATACTTCAGGAAATTTCTAAAGTTTGAACATTATTGTTAAGGAATTGAGGAGAGGGAATGATAAATCTATAAAACAAAAGAAAGGAATACAATTGCTATTTAATTTACTATACTTCGATTTTCTAGATTAAAGTTGTTGAAAGAATTTACTTGGCTTGTTTACGAAAATCCAAAAAAAAAAAAAAATCCTTCCTAAAAATAAGTATCACAAAAAAATGACATCATCAATGGTTTTAGGCGGGAAATTTTTTTATAAGAAAGCGACATGTCTACAGTTTTGAGGACAGATGATGTCAACAATGTTTTGTTTTAGTAATAGTTAATTATAGAAACTTCTTATATTTAAATTTCAAAAATGTTAAATATGATAGCTCCACAAAAAAATAAAGAACTATTTAAAATTGTTTCAATTTCCTACGATAAATTGGTAGGTTTTAGTTGTAATGTAGAAGCTTCCAATATTTTAATGTCATAAATTTTAAATATGATAGCTCCAAAAAAAAAAAAATGACATCGTCATTGTATTTAGGCGGGAAAAAATTTATTAAGAGAGTAACACGTGGGCAGAAGTGATGTCAGCATACTCTGTTCTAGTAATAGATAATACCAGTAATTAAAAATTAAAAATATTAATACTTAAACTTGCTCGTTAGCAAATATATATTCAGCTAAATTGTTGCACCTAGTTTGTGTGCAATTCAGCACATTAGTTTATTTTAGACTTGATCGTCTCATATTAAAGTAGATAAGATCAAATCAACTCTTATTTTTTTATATGCTTTATTTGGTTTATCGTTAAATATCTTATTTTCGTAACTTAAAAATTTTATAAAAATCAATACTAATATTTTAAAATCAGATGTTGGAGGGACACTTGTCCTCCTCCTATTTTTCCTATTTAAAAATAATTTTAAAAAATTAGAATTTACAACAACAACAACAAGAAAAAAAAAAAAAAGCCTCTTCCATCCCAATTCCCTAATCATGCCTATTCAAGAAAATAATTAATTGGATCAAAAAAAAAACTTTTCCATCCCAACTCTCTAATATATCTATTCAGGAAAATAATATTTTACATAAAAAAATATAAAAAAATCTATACTAATATTTTAAAATAGGAAATTTAAAGGACACTTGTCCTTTTTTTTTTTTTTAAAAAAAAAAAAAAGTTTCAACTAAAGTGTAAAAAAAAAAACCTCCTAAAATAATTCAATTCCCTAAAAAAAAAAAAGATAAGTATCAATTTTCATTTAATTTGTGTCTCTTGAGTTTCACTCCCGTCAAAGAAGATAAGTTTTAATTTTCATTTAATTTGTGTCTCTTGGATTTCATTATATAAAATTTCAATTACACAACCAAATTAATAATACTTTAACTTCTATTCTCTAACTTTTTACTTTTTCTCTATTTACCCTAACTCTATCATTTATATCAAGTAATTAAAAAAAAAATTATTGTCAAGATTTATACAAACTGCAAAAAAATAATTGCGGTATTGAATTTAAGGAGCAATCAAGGTATATGTTCTCTAACTTTATATACAACTAGATAAAGCCCGTGCGATGCACTACAACTTATATTTTTTTTCCTATATTTGTGATAAAATTTGTTACTTTATTTATTAATTGTACGTAGTATATCATATTATCATATAATATTTTTATTTTACTTACTTCAAAATAAATTGTGAATTTTCTCGCATTCGTTATATATTTAGATGAAATTCCTAATATCAAAAAAATAATATTTTATATATTAGTTTAAACTTTAAAATTTCATTCGCTGATTTTATTTTGTTAATGTAGAACTTAATCTTTAAGACGAATAAATGATAAATGAAGAACATTTTTTTTTTCTAGAAAAAGAGAAAGGATATATTTTTAATTTTAATGATTTTTTTTTTGTATTTAATTTAAAACTGTTTTTTTTTTGAGAGAAAACTGATATTTTTTTTAATTAAATGTGATTTTTTTTATTAGTATATTTTTATAAAATATTTTATTATAATCACTTGTCATATTTTCATTATTTTTTTTATTCAATCCAATTTTCTTGAATTATCAATTGAACGTGAATTCCATTTTTTTTATTTTAAGTTTAATAGTATTTTTTTATATATACGAAATAAAATAAATTGTTCTGTTATCTTAAATAAAATTTCCAATTTAAAAAGATAGTATTTTATTTCTATAATATATTTAAATTTTTAATTTTAATCTTACATAATGCTTTAAAATAACAATCCTACGTGACATAATCCTATACGTAACGCTCTAAAAATACCAATCCCACATGGCGCTCTAATAATTTTTTAAAAATCAAAATTCTAGGTGGCTCTCTAAAATTTTGGGAAAAAACTCCCCTTTATGTAATTTAACGTGGTTTCATTTTTTTTGTTAGTATATTTTTATAAAGTATTTTATTATAATCATTTGTCATATTTTCATTATTTTTTTTATCTAATCCATTTTTTTTAAATATCAATTGAACGTGAATTTCATTTTTTTAAGTTTAATAGTATTTTTTATATATATATACGAAGTAAAATAAATTGTTTCTTTTTTCTTAGATAAAATTTCCAATTTAAAAAGATAGTATTTTATTTTAAGAATAAATTAAAATTTTTAATTTTAATCTTACGTGCGCTTTAAAATAACAATCCTACGTGGCATAATCCTATAAGTAACACTCCACAAATATTAATCTTACACGGCGCTCTAATAATTTTAAAAAAATAAAAATCCTAGGTGGCTCTCTAAAATATCAGGAAAAACTCCCCTTTTATAAATATATATTAGATTTATTTTTATTTTTATTTTTCAAATTTCTTTTTACTTTTACATTGTTTTTTTTTTTTTTTTGAAAGCACTTTTAGTTGTTTTTGTATTTAATCATTTTTTAACAAATTGTGCTTTAGAATTTTGTCTGAATATTTATAAAACTTTGTACGGAATATGATTTATTTATTTTTCCATTTTCAATGTTTAAAGATAAGTTTTCTATTAATGTTAATATTTTTTTATTTTATCATGTGTGACTTTTTTTTTCAAATCTCAATTTTTATTAAATTTATGTAGTATTTTAATATTTTTCAAATTTTTTCTAAAATTTGTTTTTGGATTTTTGGGTAATCGGTGTTTAATCGTATTTTTTAAGAAAAATTGTGTATCAAAAATTCGTTTGGATTTTTTAAAGATTTGCATAATTAATTTTCTTTTACAATGTTTAAAGATCGAGGTTTTTTTTTTCAATATTTTTTATTTTGTTATATATTTCCTTTACATTTTTTAAGATCTCAACTTAAATTTTTTTTTTTACTTTGTTTTTGTCTATGATTTTCGTTTATTGTGTTTTTAATACTATTTTTTAATTTTTAAAAATTTGAACAAGATTTTCAAAACAATTTTTTTAGATCTAATTTTAATTATGTTTTAAAATTGTTATTTCCACTTATTGCTAATATGATTACATGATGCTTTTCATGATGCTACATGGTACTCATTATATGATAAAATTACGAGTATCTATTTTTAATGTTCAAAATGTTCGATACGGTTGCACATACGCTAGACTCTATATTTGGTTTTTTTTTAATTATAAACAAAATCTTTTTCTAAATTTTACATTTTACTCCACTATATATTTTAGCTTTAATAATCCATTTTAATTTTGTTTTCTATTTCTTTTAAGTATTGTTGATTTGATTTATTAGTTGGTGATTTAATGTGTTTTGTAGGTGAAAATTTCAATATTCAACAAAAGATCAATATATTAAGATGGAAACTACCGTATATCAATTTTGTGAAAAGACAATTGGATATAATTTAATAAGAATTCTATATGATTAGTTTTGTACAAATAATTTTATTTTCATTGTACTCTTATAGTGTTTCTTTTTTGAAATAATAGTGTTTTACTGTTTCTTGATATCAACTAAAGAAACATAAATAATAAAAATCTTAATCAGAAGTATTAGTGTTTGATTAATGTTTAATGATTTTATTATAAATTATTTTATATTTTACAATTTTTTATTTAATGCATCCATACGTATGTAGGCTACTGTTTTCCATCACATGTATGTCGGGTTTGGATTAATCCTCTATTAGTAGATGGGTTTTTGCTTGATACAATTTGTATTTCTAAATCTTACATATGATATGATGTAATTTTTTTGTTTTTTGGATTAGTATATATTGCATTACATTTACTAGTATTTTTACTAACATAATACAATTTATATTTACACATGTTTTGATTTGAAAAAAAAACCTAAGAGCAATTTAAATACACAATTGTAAAATTCTTTATTGAAAAACATATACTTTATATTTAGCCAACAAGATTAACCCGTGCATCGCACGGGCTAAATACTAGTTTAATATTTACAAAGTGCGTATTATATTAATACGAATCTAATGGCATCTCATATAAATTTTTTTATTTATAGATTAGTGTATAAATATGGTCAAAGTTTAGTCAAATTTGAAAATCAGATCAGATTCAACCAAATAAAAAAAATTTAAACTAAATCAGCTTTAAAAATTCAAATCAAATCAGATCATATAAACTAAAAATAGCTTAGACAAAGGTAGTGTTTCTTAATAAGCTTAGCTCGAATAGGCAAATACCTGTCCCGACTCGATTCTTTTGCAGCCTTATCAAAAAATGGTAAAGAGTATCTACACAAATTTAAACCAAAAATCTAAATTTCTTTTCCTCATCCTTAAATTAGCTGACTCATTCCTCCCTCCCCCATTCCTATCTCCATCTATCAATACCCCCACTTCCCCGAAAAAAAAAAAACCAAATTTATACATACCACCATCAAATCACCCCTCCAAAAACAAATTCTCACAAAATCCAAATCCCAAAAAAAAAAAAAAAAAAAAAATGGCGCAAGGGGTAGGAAAGATGATAAAAACCGCCATAGGAGACGCCTTAATGTCCTTCGGATGGATGTTTACGGCTTCGACACTCGGTATCGCTACCGCGGTCGTGGCCGAATATTTTGGAGTTGATGAGGAGAGTAAGTTAATCCATGCTATCTTCACCGGTATCATAATGGTTCATATAGTCTTTTGTGAAGGTATGACGGTGGCTCTTGGTGGTGCTAGCTTTAATCCCACCGCTAACGCCGCCATGTATGCTGCCGGTATTGGTGATGATACGCTCCTGTCTATGGCTGTCCGCTTCCCTGCCCAGGTATTATTTCCTAACTTTTTTTTTTAAGAAAAAAATTAAATTAGAGTTGGTTTTAATGTATTTCTAAGTAGATTTGAGTCATGATTTGGGAATACACTATTTATGAACGCAAGTACTAAATGCATTAGAAAATAACCTTAAATGCAGGATTTACTTAAATGTATTAAAGACAATATTACCCTTTTTATAATTTCTAGTATCCCACCCTGAAGTAATTTCTAATACCCTTCATCAACCATTCCGGACCCTTCATCACCCCCGGAAATATATTCCGGTACCCTATATTATCCCCCGGAAGTTAATCCGACAATAATGCTCAAGCCCCTGATATTAAATTCAGTAAATTTTTTTTTGGAAATTTATACCAAGAATTGATCTTAAGCCCGAACAGTAGTTCCAGTAGGTGTACATGCTGAAAATTTATTTATTCGATTGTGTTTGCAGATTGAATGTTAAGGGTGATTATATATATTTTTTGTTGAGATGTTAAGGTTGATTACATAATTAGGAGTGAAAATGATTTAGATTAAAACAGGGTAAAATTGGAATATAAGTTTTAAATATTTTAAAAGTTATTCTGCATTTAGGCAAATTGTTACCTGTAAGATATAAATTGAATCATTTGATGCAAGATATTAATACTTCTCTCATTAGTTTTCGTGAAAAAAAAAGTATTTTAATGGCTTATTTGATAATCGGTTATAATATTAATAAGAATGAATTTAAGTGTAAAAATTTATACAAATTCTTCAAAAAAACGGGTGTACGTTAATTTATAGTAAAACTAGTTAAAGCTATGTTAAAAATATTTAAAGTTACACTATATACTGCAAAAGTTATTATTTTTCTATTAATAAATTTTATTTTACAAAAAACTTATAATGTACTAGACTTATTCAAAAATTTATATAAGTCCTATCATTTTTAATTTGATAGGAGTGACTTTTGTATTTATTAATTCCTAATATGGATGAATTATGGTTTTGTCACGGCCTCTTTGAGGCTATCTAGATATTTTTTTTTAAAAAATAGTATGGGTTATGGGCCAATTCAATTTGAGGTTTAATAGTGTTTACACAACTATGGACGAATTAACCACTAACAAATGCTGGTCAAATAGATGTACTAATTTAGTAAACTTGCTAATCACCGACAGTGATTTTCATTAATTACTTGAGGTCGACTTTAGGTGGTGATGGCCAGGTAGGCGGGAAATTAACAAATACAAAGTACTTCTTCTATTTCACCAAGATAGTTAATCGTTACATTTTTTTAATGGAAAATTATCATCAAACAATATTAAAGAAACATCTTTGTAGATCTATATAGAATTATAGATTGTTTATGAGATGCACATGATCCAACATGCCTCCATTAAAAATACTAGAAATGGAGTATCAATCACTAACTTTGTTTTTTCATTCTTTTCGATCAATAAAGAATATAGGACGTGTTAAAGTTGTTGCATCTATGCATATATGCTGAACTATATTTTGTTGCACCGTTTTTGAAGGGGGTAGATCTAAAAAGTATGGGTACTAATAACACTTTTTGTCTTAACACATAATACAAAGAGAAAAGGCAACTAATACAACTGGAAATATCCACCTTTAATAATACGGCTAAGCAACAAATTGGTCGTTAGAAACGTAACGAATTAAGAGTGCATAAGTGATAGAGTACGTATATAAATCCATAGTTTTTTAATTGAGTTAGATCTTTTAACAAAAATAAAAATTACTTTGTATTTGTTATTGTACAACACAATAACAAAACTACTTAAGGATATCCGGTATAACTCGAGGTTATACCATCTATTAAAATTGTTTAATAAAATCGTATAAAGGTTGTTAAGCATTGACAAGAATAACTCAAGTTTATGAGATGAACAAACCTCAAAACTGGCTAACCCATTTGCAACAAAAGGACTTCATTAGACCTTATTAACCGTTATCGATCTTATTTGAACATATCAACCATTATGTTATTAGTACTTATGTTATCTTAATATATAATCTAAATTTATTAGATCCAAAATAAGTGAAAATAAGTTAATCGAAGAGAATAAAACCTTATCGCACTCCTCAAGTCTCAACCCTATCTACCCAATAAATCCTACTAACTGCATATCGTTGATATTATCTATAAGCTAATTTTTCGGTGTCATTCCTTATCAATACAATTTACAAAAATCTAATCACCGGCCATTCCCTATATATATTTAAAGCATTCTCTAAGGTTTGAAAAGAGTACTCCATATTGCTTTTGTGCTTTGTGTTTTTAAAACTTCTAATCATGGATACATCTTCCTTTAGGTTATCTACACTTAAAATTAGTATTTCCTAGTTAATATCACCCAAATCTCAATCCTTCTTCAATCTGCTTTGACAATTTCAAAAGTTGGTTTGGCAATTATTTTTAAACTAAAAGAGCAAAAGTGGTATTGTGTTAGATTTAACATTCACAATCAAGCAACTAACAACAATAAAGGAGTAACACTACTTAGCATTTCTTAATTATTTTTTCTATCTCAATTACATAATACTATGAAGTGGTGCAAAATCTAGATGATACAATTTTCAAGTCTGAAAATCTGTGTATTGCCTTATTGGCCTCAAAGATGCATACCTTTACAATTCATTGACCTTTGATGATTAACATGGGATACATTCATTCGAGGCATAGGAGATGGACCCCCAAGTGGTCAGGTTCGATCCTCATTTTCCATTCCTTTGATAGGGTGAGGGACCCCCATATCTTACCGACTAAAAAAAAAGGGGATGGATTTATTTATATATAGAACCTTGTATCTAAATGTTTGTTACACTAGGTTAGTCTCATGTGATGCACGGTTTTAATAATAAAAAATTCACTTGTTAGTGTGTAACATAAATTTTTTAAGCAAAATATAATTTGTAATCCCTCTCGTTAAATTTATTGAGCTAAAATGAAGGACATAAATATTCTAATTAACTTCATAGCTATAATAAAATTTTAAAAATGTTAGCTTTACCTTGAAAAAGTAAAAAAAAATAAAAAAAGAATGATGTCAACAATAGTTTTGGAGAGAAATTTTTTTATAAGAAGTTGCCACGTGGATAGTTATGATGTTAGGCTCGTGCGATGCACGATTTTAACAATAATTTTTTGGCTTATTATATGTAATACGTAACGGTAGTATAAATAATTTAAGTAAAATATAATAAATTGTGAACACTCCAAAATCATACAATCTATATAAAATATACGGAGTAGGATGAAAGATAATGCTTTTAGATAAATGGAATAGTCCAACAAGCTTTTTTTACTCCATTGAAAATTGTGTAGTTAGTCAATTTAAATGTAAAAATCTCTTAAAAAATGTATAATTAATTTACCATTTTCAAACCTCTATTTATCTTAAAATAATAATGATGTTATTAATAGTTTTAGCGGAAAATTTTTTTATGAGAGATTGACATGTAGATAGTAATGATATCAGCAGTGATTATCTATCTATAGATAGATTATAAGTTAACATTGGTGGAAAATTGAGAATCTTGCAATTGGCAAAATTGTAAAATAACAAATGGCCATCCAGGCTACCTACTAAGAAAAGGGTGCAACTACCTACCATGTTACCACATGTCCTCACCATGTTTCGACTAAGAGATAAACTTTTATGGATTTTAAGCTCATTGTTCATTAGGGTACTGATGTGGTTTCTATAGGCCTTTAAACCGTGTTTGCATCCTTTGAATTGGGTTAGGTTGTTAGAACAATTGGAGGATTAAATACAAGAGAGATTGGATACTCTAGGCATGTAACATTGCAAATTTACTAATAGTTTAATTTTGACCATTAAAATTTTTATTGCATGGTTAATTTAACATAATCATTGAGATACTGAGATAAAGATGATTGTGGCTGGGCACATGTGCCTCTTGCTGAGCCCATGTTCCACGGAACATAGCAACATACTAACATGTTGTGAATAGGGTTGTAAAAAGCTAACTCGATACGATAACTCGATCCGAAATAAGTGGGTTTGGATCAAGAATTTTTAACCCGTTTACATAATTGGTTCGACAAGAATCCAACATGAAATTAAACAGATTAGGTTTGGGTTGAAATTTTCAACCCGAAACCGACACGCATAACCCAATTATATAAGTGGGTTGAACGACAATCCATTAACCCGAATCCGACATACTTAACCTATTAATTAAGTAGTAAAAAAAAATTATTCAAAACTTGTAATTTTGTAAATTGCCATGGCGCCATTTATACATTTTGGTAATTTTTTGGCGGTTAAATTGGCGGACAAATTAAAATTTTCAACTTTTGTAAGTTAAAATATGGCAGTTAATTTGGCACAATTCTTATGTATGGCTGTGTTGCTAAAACTACTAAGCTCTTGTAGTATATTTTGCTAAAATTACTAACTTTAAACTCTTGTAGTATCTTTACATAATTAATGATGTATGTCTTTTAATTTTTAAATTTGAATATTAATTAGTTATTACGTACTATGTGGGTAAAAGGTTACCCGGGTAACCTGTTTATAAGCGGGTTAGGTTTAGGTTTAATAAACAGGTTAGGTTTAATTTGGGTCAAGGATTTTTCAACCCATTTAACATCGACACGAACACGAACCTGACACAACACAACCCATTCCATTTGACAACCTTAGTTGTGACTTGCCTACATAGTGTTCGTGCCATGCCGTGCTCTTTTTTTTTTTTTTTTTTTTTTTTTTTTTTTTTTGTGTGTTAGGCCTTGCAATGACTCAAGTCAGTCCTGCCTAGTGCCATCTTTATGTGCTATACAGTGAATAGACCAAAAAAAAAAAAACTTGGGTTGTTGTCAAAACCAATTTACTAGAATTTTGTATCTAGGTTTGTTATGACACTCATGAACAAAGAAGAGTACGACATGTGGCTATATTGATTCAAATTATTACATACTAATTACTAGGTATAAATATAGGTATAATTATTTTCACTTTGTTTGGATAAAAGGAAATGGAAGGAAAAGAAGGAAAGAGAAAGGAAGATGACAAACTCTCTTGTTTGGATAAAGGATTAAGGGAAGGAAAGAGAGGGATCTATTCTCCCTCTCTCTTTAATAAGCATAATCCCTTTAAAATTGAAGAGATTTGGATGTGAACACATACACATACAACGATTAAGGGAAGGAAAGAGATTTGGATCTACTTTCCTTCCTTATTTGCTATCCAAACAAAGCTTATTGAATGTGAACACATACACATGCAAGTAAATTAAATCTTGTGCAAATGTATCTATTCTTCCAACATTTTCTAATTATCCTAAAAACACGACAACCTCCATGGCACGATTAACTTCTCTATACCAAAAGATGATGACCACGAGTATATAATAATATAATATCTTTCATTAAGCTTTTTTTTTTTTTTTGAATAGTTTCATCATAGTATTCAATTATTCATTTTTTATTTACTACATATATTTTTTTAACAAAAGATGACGACCACGAGTATATATCATTCACCAAGCATCATAATATTCAATCATTCATAATTTGTTGGTACTTATAGAGAATATTTTATTTACCATAAGCAATTTATTTCTTCATTTATTAAGCATGGAATCCACGAGGTACACCAAAAATTCAACAATCAATTAATTAACAAAAAAATTTAAAAAACTTAAAATTAGGTAAGTCACACTCATTCTAACCATCAGCTACACCTTCCAATCCTCTATCCTATCACCCGTTGACACCTGCAAATCCCATCATACCCAACAACTTAGAGAGAGAAACTCACTGAAAGAGGAGAGAGAAACCTTCGAAGGTCGCAACAATGGCGTCTACAATGGCGGCGATTAAGCTGGCAATCGGAGACGCCGTACTCACCGCCATGTGGGTGCTCTCGGCGTCAACCATCGGCCTTTTCACTTACCTCATTTCTACTTCGCTCGGAGTTCAAGGACCTTTGACCCTAGTTATCACTACCTCAATTGTCGCAACTCTTGTTTTTGTCTACACTTTTGTCGGGCAATTGCTCGGTGGTGCTAGCTTTAACCCTACTGGAACTGCCGCCTTTTACGCTGCTGGTCTTGGGGGTGATTCACTTCTTTCGTTGGCGTTGCGATTTCCGGCTCAGGTTGATTTTGATTGTTTCGGGTTTTTGTTTTGTTTGATTTGATGGATTTGGAAGTGGGATTGTTTAGAATTGGTGATTTTGGTTTTTATATGTTTGTGGGAATTGGATGATCATTAATGTTGTTTGAATGTCAATGTGAAAGATGTTTAAGTTTCATTTATGATGGAAGTTTTGATATCAGTGGAGTTGACTTTTGTGTTTCATTTGATTTCGAGTGGAAATGGGTCCGAGACTTTAACCAGTTAAGCTAGTTTTAATGTAAGGTGGTTCGTGATATTATCATGCCAGGAGAGATTTAGTGGCGGGAGTTGGTGTTTAGTTTCGATTAAAATCGGATTTATGTTTAATTGACAGAGTTGACTTAACATGTATGTGGAGTTTGAGATGTTTTCTCAATGATGTTTCAAGATCACTGTCGTTTTAAGTAAGTGTATGAGTATAGGACTAGAAATCTGGGACGAACGACTTAGGTCTGAGGCTGTCATAGGAGCTATGTGGTACTAATTGAAGTTTAATGTGGAATGAATTTACCAATCATCGAGTTCTTGGGTTTTTTGGTTCTTGTTGTTGAAGTATATGGTATGAAAATCCTACTATATGTAACTAATTAAATGATTTCTTGGCCAAGACTATTTTTTGCTAGATTTTCACTAAAACATCAATGGTCAAAATTGCTTCCTTTTCATCTGACTAACTATCAATTGTCTGTTTGTCTCGCTCCAATTATGTACGCATAGTGGTTAGAACGTGTGACTTTCAATTGGATGCAGTATTTACTGAAAATTTGGTTGAGCCTGATGCTTAAGTGATGTATAAGTTTTCCGCTTTCTGACATGGAACTCGCAAATATTTGGTAAGAAGTTTTATTAGATTCTTCTTCCTAATGCACAACTCCAAAATTTGAGAAAATTCCAATAAACAAGCATTTAAAATCACCTGTTGGTTTTCCCTTGACAAGTAATCTTGTGGTTTATAAGCATACATCTATTCTTTGCCCTTTTTATGCTGTTACATTTTGACTATACAAGCAGTCACATCCTCTATAGGAAAGTTGATTTATCAAGAATAATAAATTCATTGGAAACTGTAAGATGGTGTATAAATATATCAGAGTTTACTACCAATATATATTTCTGATGGTATGAACTTGTTTTACGGCAGGCGGCTGGTGCTGTTGCCGGTGCCATAGCAATCTCGGAAGTGATGCCAAGTCAGTACAAACACATGTTGGGGGGACCTTCCATTAAGGTTGACTTGCATACTGCAGCCATGGCAGAAGGGGTGTTGACTTTTCTTATAACCTTGGCCGTCCTCATCATTATCATCAGGATTCCAGGTGGTATGTTGGTGAAGACATGGCTGCTTGCCATGGCTACTGTAACTTTGGTTGTTGCTGGCTCTAGTTATACTGGACCTTCAATGAATCCTGCCAATGTGAGTATATTTCTGCTGAATGACTGTGTTCCATATCTGTCCTGAGCTAAGTTCTTTCCATTGCTTTAATCATGTCTCCATAGCTGGTTTCTGTGCACCATTTATTAAAAGCGGTTTCATCACTAGTGACTACCCCACAACATTCACAGTAAATCTTCAATTGTAATTTGGATTAGTAATTGGCTGGAAAACATAGCTTAATTATTCAGGTTCAAAACAGGGTTTATGTCTTGAGCAGCCCAATCAACTAAGAACAGTGGCAATGTCCATTCATATGCTGCTTCCCTGTCTTTAGTGTCACTACCCTTTATTTTTTCCCTCTGCTATCCTTTTTCGGACTATGCTCTTCGCCAAGAGAGAGTAGTTACCTACTTACCTCTCAGAAGTCAGAACTGTTGTTGCACTGTCTTTAGTGTCATACTTTTGTATCAAATAAAGCAATGTCGTGATTATGCAGAATGAAATGCATTATGCATTACTTATTAATATACCCTGCATACTCTTACAGAAAAATGAAGTTTGCAACTGGTATGGAGCTTCAAAACCAAATGATATCCTTGTTTTCCTTGCTTTATGACAATGATAGATTCAAGATACTTTGCCTTAGTGATTTATGTTATCAACATTGAACACCCCTAATAAAGACACCGGATGAAAGGGTACGTAATGCAGAAAAGAGGACATATGAGTCTATGATTTGTTTTAAGACTTGTGTGTCTAACAATATTAGAGAAAATATACCTAAGTTGATTCAAACAGTCGAAAAGTGTGCATATCAGAGTGCTGCTAAATAGCCTAGGTCGTATTTTGATTCTACTTCATTATTATACATGTTAATACTATAGTTTCCCTAACATACATGGTAAATCAATAGTTTCCGTAAATTATTTAAAAAGCTCCTGTAACATACAAGTTAAGCACAAACTTAAGGTCTTACTTTGAAGTCATTGCCGTGGCCATTCGTGGAAGCAGTAGAAGAGGAGGGCTTTTTTTTCTGTCCATGAGATTGATTGAGCAAAAACATGCTGCAGTTTTGCAAATTATGCCTTGACCATGAATACTTTTTGTCCTTCAATCGATATTGTTGTAGTTTGATCCACGTGCTTTGAAAACTATGTGGTTTAGTCCTTAAAATAGAGGAGATTGCTCCACATAGGCTACAAATACAATGATTTGTTTCTCTTATTGTATTACAATGATTTGTTTCTCTTAATGGATTACAAATACAATGATTTGTTTTCTCTTAATGGATTACAAACACAATGATTTGTTTCTCTTATTGTATTACTGCGTAGTAGATAATTAATTGTCTTTTGTTGTTCTTGCAGGCGTTTGGATGGGCATACATTAGAAAACAGCATAATACATGGGATCAGTTGTATGTTTACTGGATCTGTCCCTTTATCGGTGCAATTGGGGCTGCTTGGGTGTTCAGAATCATCTACCCATTGCCTAAAAAGCAGAAGAAAGCTCCAAAGAACAGGAAAGCAGAGTAATTTGGTTCCAGATTTCTACAAGGAAATTAGTTATTCATAAACTAATGTGGTATTTTAACCACATTCTTATTTTTCATTATCTTCAATTGTAATATGGTAATATCCAAATTATGAATTATCATAGATTAATAGGTGGGTTTGGTAAGATGTTAGGAATGAAGTTGTGCAATTATACAAAGTAGTGTTTCAGCTTTCAGGTTTTGATTGCAGACTTGGCCTTTAAATTTTGCCAAGAACGGACAACAAAGCAAAAGAATATAACTCAGCCCAGAATTCCAAGTTGCAACAGCTATATTATGGTCCAAGCTTAATACACACGTTAGCATGACTAATGGAACAAGATGTCAAATAAGCTATAGAAAAAATGTCTTGCCGATAATATTTGAAATTTTGGTTTATACTGATAGAGCTGCCTGCAATCAGTGCAAACAAGTATATCTGTCATCTTTTTTTTCAGGCTTTGTAAGGCCTCGTGAGACTGTAAACCTGTTTGCCTGTAGTGATGAAGTGACCAAATGCGCTCTGCTCCGGTCAATCTCACACTAGCTGATCCAATGCTTTCTGTGCTGCTCTTCTATCAAATCCATTTCCAGGATCTGTGCATCCATCAATAACATTAACAGCCGAACCAATTTCACCGTCCTGCTAGTTTAAGATGCACCATAGTTGTTGACAGTAGCTAGTGGACTCGTCCCCAAAAGTTAAAGCCGAAAGAGGTTGGCCTATCTTCCAGATTTTTCCTTGTTGGCTCATTATACGTGTTAGTGTGTGCTCGCACAATTGCTTATGTGAAGGGGAAGCTGATGCTTTATAAACCTTTACCTTAGCAGCCACATAAATTTTTACTCATCCTAATTGCATGCCTTATGTGAAGGGGAAGCTGATGCTTTATAAACCTTTACCTGAGCAGTTACATAAATTTTTTACTCATCCTAATTGCATGATAACGTAAGTTTATTGTGCACACTTCAGAAAGGAGGAAAAGTAAAGCATCAAATGAGCAACTTTTAGGCAAAGAACACATGCATATGATGCATTCATGTAACATCAAACTATTCCTTTAATCATGCAATTAACACGGCATTTTCACTCTTAACAAGAAGAAATGCAAGAGCTAAGGGCTTTTTGCTAAAAAAGATGGTACTTTTTCTTTGCATCCCTTTACTAGAAAAAGGGCCGTTTGCCCTCACAATTTACCGCCTTACCGCTTCGGTCACAAATCTCAAAATTTACTCCATATTTGTTATTTTGCTTCTATAATTCCCATGTATCTTGCTTAACATTTGAGGTTGATGGCTTGGTTCAGGTCTTCCACGATTAAAAATTTCCTAAATCCTACAAGGTTTAAACTTGAGTCAGACCCGCGTTAATTTTTTTTTTATTAATTGACGCCTTCAAGATGTCGACTTTCTTTAACTTGGTGGCGTACTTAAAAGGGTAAAATGAAATAGCGGACTATTTGTCTAGTGAGCTGTAACTTCTAATGCGATGGATGAAGAATAATAATTAAGCTTTTTTTTTTTTTTTTTTTTTTTTTTTTTTTTTTTTTTTTTTTTAACTATAACACCACATGACAATACTACCTTCAATAAACTCTAAACATACCTTTTATTTTTTTTTAACATAAACATACTTCAATGAACTCTATTACTATTTATTTTCTTAAAGATTACACCACTTAAGTAATATAAATGATATAAACTTGTGGAATTTTGTAATAAAACAATTAATACTTCCCGCGTTTCTTTAGTCGCGTTTGCCAACGCAAAAATTCAATTATTAATATCTTTAATTACCGATAAGCAAAATTACAAAAAGTTGATATTTTGAAAATATATATATTGTGCTGAATCTAACAAGATTTCACATGACTCTATTTTTTTGTTACGTATAAAGTACAAAACACGGTCAAAAAAGAGTATATAAATAGTGATAAAGTCAAAACGTGCTTAAAAAAAAAATAAAAAAAACCGAAGGTGATAAAATTTAAAAGGAAAATTCTTGAGTGAGATGTGAAACTACAATTGCTTTCTCCCCGACACTACCTAGTACCACCCCTACTTTTCCTCCATAAAAATAAAATAGGATTTTTTGTAAATTACCACCCAAAAAACGGTCCACTTTTGATATAACCACCCAAAAAATAATTTATTTTAAATTACCACCCATTTAGAATTTCCGGTGGAATTTCCGTTAGTGGGCCCCACTTTTTTTTTTTTTAATCTGGCTTTCTCACACTCTCTCCCCTATTTCACTCTTCTTCTTCCCAACCACCACCCCCACCATTGCTCCCTCACCCCAATCTCCCCCACTTTCTCTCTCCTCCATTTTTGTATACTTCCTAGCCACTGCAATCTACCCCACCACCCTCAACACACCCCACCGACCACCGCCTTCAAGTTCATTGCCCTCCACCTCTGCCTTCGAAACCAAAAAACAAAACTAGAGAGAGAAAGCTCTCATAATCCCAAATAAAGGGCGAGTTTCACAAATCTGAGCATTTATTCTAAAATTTTATTAACAACTCGTGGTGAATGCACATCTGGGTTTCAAAATTGGGCATAAATTGATGGTCGAATGTTGCAATTAGAGCTGAAATCGGTGTTGTCGGGGATGGACTTGAACCAATAGGTGGCTGAAATGGGTTTAATTGGCGACGAATTGGGTGAGATTGGTGAAGCGATGTTGAAGAGGTGGGGTACGGTGGTTGCGGGCTGATGTTGCTGCAATTGGCTGGGGTGGTCGTGGTTAGGGAGATTTTGTGGGTGGCTGAGGTTGAATGGGTGGTTGGGTTTATGGGTTTCGGGGTAGCTGGGGTTGAACGGAATGGTGGTCGGGTTTAGAGGTGGCTGAGGTTGAACAGGGTGGTCGGGTCTTGGGGTTTCGGGTTGCCCGGAAAATTTCTATGTTCCGGCATCAACCCCGAAAGAATCAGAGCTGTGTTTAGTGAAGTGGGATGTATGAAGATGATGATTTTGTTGTTGTTGATGATAGTCAGGATGAAGAAAAGGGGAATTTCTGATAGTTTGAGGATGCCATTGGAGTGATCCTGGAGCTTTTTTTTGCTCGTGGGTGGCGTGTCAGTCGTGGGAGTGGGGGTTGGGTGGTGATGTGGTGGTGGTTATGGAAGGGTGGTGGTTGTTATGGTGGGTTGCCATGAATGAAGGTGGTTAAATGGGAGGAGACAGATTAAAGAAAAAAAAATAAAAAAAGCGGGGCCCACTGACGGAAATTCCACCGGAAATTCTAAATGGTTGGTGATCTGAGCGTTTTTTTAATTTAATGGGTGGTAATTTAAAATAAATTATTTTTTGAATGGTTATATCAAAAGTGCACAGTTTTTTGGGTGGTAATTTACAAAAAAAATCTAATAAAATAAAATAAAATAATTTTTATTTTTAAAAATCCCATACTATATAAATACCTGAAAGGCTGAAACCATCAAAACATTGGAATATATAAATAAAAATTTCCATCATTTTTATTTCTATCATACTCAAAATTCCTAAATCTCTTCCCTTTCCTCCCTTAGGAAGAGAGAGTGAAGAGAATTTATCAAAAGAACCCAAAAAAATTAATCACCCATTTCATCAAATTCCCCCAAATTCCCAAAAAAATTCATAATTTATCCACCTAAATCCGAAGAACTGGAGTCGTCGGGTGGCGTAAACGGGCAGATCAGATACAGATCGCCGTCATCGGCGGAGCTTTTCACGGAGGGTCAGGCACCGCCATTGTCGTCGTCAAACCCAGTTGGGATTTCATCATCAACTTCCCCAGCATTATCTGATCAACCCCATTTACAAGACGCACACCACTCGTTCGACAAAATGCTTAAGAAAAGCAAGTATCAACAAGAGTCATTTTCTGACAAGATTTACCGGTATAAGGGTATAATTCTTGTGATTACATTGCCCCTTTTGCTGATCTCGTTTGTGCTGTATATGATGCCGGGTCCCACTGATGAAGGGTTCTCTCCTAGGAAGATGAAGACTGGTAGTTCTGTTAAGGTTGGTGGTAATAGATATGCTGTGATCTTTGATGCTGGGAGTTCTGGGAGTAGGGTTCATGTTTTTTGTTTTGATAAGAATTTGGATCTTGTTCCCATTGGTAATGATCTCGAACTCTTTGTTCAGGTGAGTGATTTTTTGTGAAAATTTTGAATTTTTATTTAGTGGGTTTGATTTGGATTTAAGTTTAGTTTTGTGGGAATTTGTCAATTTTTCTGAAATCTGCTTTATGCTGATCTGAGAGTGTTGATTGTTTTTGTGGTAATTTCGATTAATATTTACTGGGTTTGATTTGGATTTAGTTTTATTTTTGTGGGGATTTGTGAAATTCTTCTGAATTATGCTTTTGAACTGATTTGGGAGTGTTTGGGTTGCTTATGATCTATCTATATAATATGGATCTAATGGTTAATGCTGGTAATACATAATTTGCTTGGTAATTGGCTTTGCAGTTTCTGAATGGACTTTTATTTTTTCATGAATGTAATAATGGGGATAATTATGGTGCATTGTACAATTGATGGATTTTTGGGCTGAATTTTGATGTGGTTTAAATAGTTGAATGTTGGACAAGTCTGTAGTTTATTGTTTCAGTGATTTGATGATCTCTGGATTTTTTGGTTAGAGTTTGAAAAATCATTCGAGGACCGAAATCAAAATGCATTATCTTCCTTATCTAGTGATTACTATCAGTTATCTGGGCAAAAATGATATATTTGCTTTAGTACTGCAGATTGATGATAAGAGATGTGTTGAGCCTGCCTGATTTTTTCATTTTTATTTTCTTTTTGTCTCATGGGTGAGGGGATCCATTGGCAGGGGGTTAGGTATTAGTGGATTTGATTGCTAGAATTGCAATTTTACTTATGATAGGTTTTTGAATCATCTAGTAACCCTTGAGCTCGAGATGGTTCCTCTAGTTTGCCTATGTTCTGGTTTACTCCTGTGTTTAAAGCTACGTGTGCTTCTATTGAAGGCAATGCTTATCCAAACCTTTGCTGAGCTTGCAAACTGTTGTTGATTGTATTTGTCCTCTATCCCTATGCAGTGGTTTCTGCTCTTTTTTCTTCTTTCATTTGCTGTTGTGTAATGGTTGGCTTCTTATAGGTGGTAGATATCGTGTCTTACACTCTTACTTAATTCTTTTTTCATTGCTTCTACAACTCTGGTCAAGCTTCATCATTGAGTGAACAGAGATTAATATGCAATATCTGCAATTGTTATATAACCCTTGTTTTTAATTTTCTTCGTATGTGTAGAAAAAACCAGGTCTAAGTGCATA